GCTGGAAGCGCCGTGGACAGAGGCCCTGCCGCCGCCGCAGAAGCCACCCATGCGCCGAGGCATCCGCTCGCTCATGGTGAAGGAGCTGAACAGTTTGACGAGGGGCTGAAACTAAGAATGGGCTTCTTGCTGGTATTGTACTTCAGACCTTGACCAAGCACTTCTGCAAAAGATTTGGGCTTTATTGCATTTTACCCAGGCCAAGTCCTTCTGCTAATGTTTTTGCCATGTCTCACCATGGCTTCCTGGTTTGGTTTTTTTCGGTTTGTTTTATTTTTTTTTCTTCCGTTATAATTTTGTTCTTGATTTTCGGTGTGACTTGTTGTACTCTATGACAATAACCTTCTTAGCTCTAATGTCCCTCCTACCCCTCAGCAGTTGACCAAGCTCCACCAGTTGGCTATGCAGCAAACCCCCTTTACTCCCCTTGGACAGACCACCCCCGCTTTCCCTGGTACGTACCCACACACCCTTTCTAGATATCCTTCTCTTCTTACCTGTAGAGTTTCTCTCTCTTTCTAAACTTGTGCTTTTTAATGGAGACAAGCAGGGCGAGTAAAAACTGAAGTTACAGTGTCCATGGGGAAAAGTTAAAAGGGAGACAGGACAAATATTTGGGGGTTACGATCCTCAATGGGCAAGCTCTCAGCCATTAACCGTGAATGCCTGGACTGCTCCTGTGAAGCCACACTCTCCTTGCTCCCAGCTTTGCTGGGTTTCCCAGCAGCAGAAGTGACGAGCGCCAGTCTCCCACCTGGAGGAGGTAGCATCCCCTGCCACCCGCTGATCCGGACCCCGGTGGGACATCCCCGCTTTCCCGGGGGGGAACGGCTCGGCGCTGGCCGGGGATGCTGCCCCAGGCAGGGGATGTGCAGGGAGCCGTGCTGAGCCAAGCAGGATGGCAGCCCCACGGTGGGGAGAGCAATGGGAAAGACATGTGGCCGTAGGGAGCCACGTGGACCGCAAGACAGCCAGACCTGCCGTGGCTCAGCAGCCTTGTCCCCAAGGCTGGCACAGCAGTTAACACGTTTCACGGCAACCTGGGAAGCAGCTAGAATGCAGGGGATGGAGATAAAGTACCTTTGCTTACTTGGTGGTCAGAGTGCCAGTTGGAAATGCCTTTTCTGACAGTATGTTCATCATATTTTGAGCTTCCTAGATGAAGTGACATTGCTTATCTCCTCGAAGGCAAAAGCATTAAACCTGTTTCTTCTTTGCTCTTCAGGAGAAAAGCTGCCCTTACATTCCTCCGAAGAAGCTCAAAATCTGATGGGCCAATCATCAGGTAAAACACAAAGCCACAGGGAAATAAGCAGGCTTCTGTTGAAATACATTTCTTGAGTAGGACTGTGACGTTGTTGTGCTGCTAGATAAATTGTGGTATTTGCAGAGAAGGCAGCAGGTTTTCTTGGTGGGCAGGGGGAGACGGGCAGCACTGTGGCTGCCATTCTCCTTTGTACAGCATGTCAAAGAAAAGTGCCTGGATTTTATTGCGTAGGTTTTTGCTGTTTGCATGTAACTGCCATCTGTGCAACAGAAAGACATCAGAGTCATCGCTCTTATTCTTGCATTTAATTTTGCATCAACTTTGCTCAGAAACAGTAGGAAAAATGCCTGTGGGAGCAGAAGCAAGACACAGTTTTAGCCATCTCTAAGCCATTCAGGGTGAGCTGCATTTTTAGTGGGACAGGACCCTGAGGAGCCAGTGCATGGCTGTCATCTTGGAGAAACACTGATGTCAAATGTCACGCACATTCATCCAGATGTGCCAAACATGCTTATCTTTTATAACCTACCATTGCTTAGAAGAGTTATTCGGATGCCTGGAAAATCGTAGGCGGTGTGAGCCAGACCTCCCCTGGGCACACCTGGGGCACATGTGTGCTCCGCGGCCAGTGAGGGTGTGTCACGCATGTGATTTGAAACAGTCTGGGGATATTGCCTAAATACAAAAGCAAACGTAGCCCAAGTAAATAGACCCCACAAGACTACAGCAAACACAGATTTCATGACACCAGCCTGCACAGCCTTTTCTGCATGCCCTGCTTTGCCCTTTCCAGCCTAATCCTGCCCTGTCCCCTCCTCTGCCCGACATGTTACGGCTGTGAGGACTGCATGTATCAGAGCGGGAGGATCAGGTGTGTTAAAATGAACAATCTCCAGGTAATGGAGAAGGACGTGGCCATTCCTCGATGGCCGATGTGATGCAGGGGGTGGGGCAGCACCACAGCACTGCGTGCCCCGAGGGCTTTCAGCAGCACCCATGCCATCTGAGTGTGGGGTGAAGGACCCTATCTATGAGTCTGAGAAGTCTAGCTTGCATTTCCAAAGACTCCTGGGTGCCTCAGTGCTGCTCTGAGCTCATCCCCACTGCTCTGCCCTGTTCAGAAGATGTTTTCTGCCATACCTGGGCTGCTGCTGAACACAGCCTTGTGATGCATGGCCCAGAGATCAAGACACTCGCATCCTGAGACATGTCTTTGTGTTAGGTGCAATTTGACCTGCCTTGGACTGTGAGGAGGCTCAGAATGAAAGATGGCCTAGGGCTGATGAAATGTCTTTTCCAGTGCAGTGTGCCATAAAGTCAGCATTAAGTGTTGCCCACTGTGTAAAACCTGGGCACGAGCTGTTTTGTGCAAGCTTTGGTGTTTGTACACCCAGAAGGGGTGAAGGAGGGCTTAGGGCTGCCAAGTGGAAGATTTGCATCCTCATCCCCTGCATTCCCCCTCCTCTATGTTCTCCCAAGTGAAAAATGTGGTAAAGGAGCCTCCTGCAAGGGGGTGCCTGCGTGCTGTAGCCAGGCGTTGCATCTCTGTAAGGGGGGTGCAGCTGCAAAGCTGCATTCTGGAAAGCACAGGAATCATGCCTGAGCGCATCGAAGATACCCGATACTCTTCCCACTGGTGATGCTCAAATAGGATTGCAACCTAAGGCTTCTTTTTAGTATTTTAGAAATCTTGCTCTGACAGTGCTGATACCCACATAGGCATCAGTTCAGACCTGCTAGATTTTAAAACCTATGAGGCTGTTGCTGGCAAAAATGGATGGGAGCTCCTCTTCTGCAGCGTGGAGGCCCTCGGTGGAAATGCAGACCAGCAAACCCTGGCTGTTGCTTGTAGCAGCTGCTCAGCCCAGTTAAGGCAGTGGCATGTTGCTGTGTGGCATGAGGAATTTGGTGCTGCTAATGTTTTGCGTCGTAGCAGCCCAGCACTTCTAGCCTCCTCGTGCTTCTTTACTCTGCACCTTCTTACTCCCCTTTGAAACAGACCTTGCAGTCTCTTGCCCTCTCATGCACACTGCTCTTAAAAGCCTTCATGAGTAGCTTATATCATACGGAAAAGGGGTTTTAAGCAGTTACTGCAAATTCCTGTTAGCCACCAGACAGCTTTTCTCTTGCAGATTTGACATTGGGCATCCTAGCTTCAGCACTGAGGTGATTTAATATGGAAAACTGTGGGAGAGGCAGGCTTCGACCTGGCCTAGGAGCATGATGGCATGCTGTCCTCTTACTTCTGGAGCTGCACGCACAGGGTAGCTTTCTGACTCCAGCCTTTCCCGCCATGGAAGAGAGTTTACTCCCTGGCCCTGGAGAGGCCAGGACAAAGCATATTGCTGCCTTCCTTCCCTGCTATGTAATTTTGTGGGGAAGAGGCTCTATGCGCCCATACTGCTTGCCATGCTTTTCCTTGGGAGTAAGAGGGACCATCAGTCCTGGGTCCAGATAGTGTGCTTGTCTTAGCATATCTTAGTCTGGCTTAAATTCAGTGTGCAAGTCCGTGGGGTTGTAACTTGCAGAGTGCTTTGCAGGCTGCCCTGTGCTAGCACTGCCGGATCCCCTGGGGAAACCGGTGTTGGAGCACAGAGCTGCTGTCATAACCAAGCAGCTCTGGGCTGCTGTGTCCAGAGAGGGCTGGAGGGTGCATGGGCAGCCCTCCCGCTGGCAGGCTGTCTACCTGTTGGGTTGGGTTTCCCAGCCAGCAGGCTGTCTGCTGCTGGGTGCAGGAGGGCTTTGCAGGAAGGCGCTTTTCCCACCTCTCTCCAGTGATGCTGCGACCTTGCACTACAGCACACCCTCCTCTGGAGCCACTCGCAGTGGGAGGACGGAGGGTGGGGAGCGAGGCACTCATGGGGCAGCACCTGCGAGGACAGCTCGAGGGACGCAGGGTAAGGTGGCACCCAGCGCCAGCAAAGTCAGGTAGCAACCATCTTCCTCCTCTTTGTACCAGAGTGTGTGATCCCCTTCCCCTCCCCACCTCGGAGCAGGACGCAGCCTTTGCAGTGTTGACTGTTGCGGGAAAGCAGCGGAGCTCCACCGCACTGCCTCTGCAAGCTATAACCATTTTCCCTTGCATATGCCCAGGTTTGGATGCCAGTCCCCCGGCCAGTACTCATGAACTCACCATTCCCAATGATGTAAGTAAATCCAAGTGCTTCCTCAGCATGTGTGTGTGTGTATACACATATATATATGTGTGTGTATATATATATGTATAAGCTGCAGGCATATGACTTTGTTAGATATGTTCAGAGATGCCCCTTCACCAGGTTCACCCGTGCCATGTGCAGTCTGTTGGGGGTCAGCCTGCAGCATAAAGAACCCATTGGACTTTACCTCGTTGATAGCTTTCCTAGGTACAATCCTTCTTAATGCTTCTTTTCCCTTTCCAAGTGAACTCAGTGCTCATGAAATATGCCCAGTTGACAGCACTGGGAAGGGGAGAGAGCTCCAGGGCCAGCCCTGATTGAACCGTGATTGCTTAATCTAGCACTGGCTCAAGCATAGTTACTGGGGGGTTGTGGAGGAGGTAAGTAGTGTTTCTAATGCCACAAAGGGTCACACAAGTGTCTGAAGGATGGCATGGCTTGTCTTAGTATGGGTGGCAGTCAGCTTTTAGGTGTTGTAGATGGAGGCATTGTGGTAAAGTGGATGTTGGATGGGATATTCGGTGGGAGGAGGCTGGAGTCACATTGGGCACTGAGCGGTGTGAGGAGGGTGCTTGGGGATGCTCAGGTGGGAGGAGGTGAGATGGAGAGCCTGAATCCAAAGGTCTCACTCGCTTCCAGACTGGTTGGTCTCCTGGTTTCCATGGGCTGATAACCAGTGGATGCCAAATCAGGATCAGGGCAAGTCGGCGGTTGACTTCCAGTCTCTGTCTCCAACACCTTCAAGCACCTTCAGCCCCATCCTCATCAGAAGTATCTGGGGGTTTGGGTCTGGCAGCTGTTGCCACTTCTTCCTGCTTTTCACCAACACATGGCAGCGTGAGGGAAGGGCAGCAAGCTTGGCTGTAGCTGCCCAGCACATCCACTCCTCCTGGACACTTATAAGGCCTCCTTCCACCCGAGAGATGCGGCAGTGAAACAGCTTCTGAGAATCTGCAGGATGACACCCTTGGAGATGCCTCACCCTGGGGCCAACCTCTGTGGGAGGGCTCTGCGGAAGAGCCCATGGGAGATGTCAGCAGGGCTGACCCGGGGTCTACTTCTGTCCGTCCAACAAGAACCCGTCTCTGGGACGCTACAGGAAGCTCTGCAAGCACTTGTGAGGTTGCAACAGCTGTGTTTGTCAGGTGTGGGGGACTGTGGCCCTGGCAGCAATGAGGACATCTTCAGAGATACTAAGCAATGTTTCCAAAGAAGCCTTTTGTCACCTTTAATGTGCCAAGGGACCTGCCACAGGACTTAGGAGAACTCAGAGCATTCACTTACTGAACGCCTGGCTCTCATCTGACCTGCACAGCTTTAAATGTCATCACCTGCATCTTTCTGCCTGCTGAAAATGCCTCCTTAGCTCTGCCTCATGTTGCTTTGAAGGCTCTTAAATTCCTACTGCCACTGTCCTGGGAAGCTGAAGGCAGTTTTGGATTTCTTAAAGCCACAGGTCTACAGGCGTGTTTTAGTGGTGTAGATCGGCTAGTGGTTACACAGCAGAGAGAGCTGAAGAAAAGCTGCTGGTGAAATCCATCTTGTCACTCCTCTGACTTCCATGAAAAGCTTGAATGTTCTGCAGAGATGCTTGGATGTTGGTGAACGTCTCTCAAAATAAGTTTGGGTCCTCAGGCCTCCCCAGCAGGTTCCCAGCTGCAAGGGATATTCATTTGCTGATGCATCTCTGGGTTATTTCTGCTACCTGAAGACCAGGATGGATAGCTGTTGGGCTGAATATCACAGTGCAACCCCTGAGATAGTTGGTACCCTTCCAGTGCTACAGTGGAGTGTATATTAACATCTGTGTGGAACACAAAGGCAGCCCCATGGTCTGACAATAGGACCAGTGAACATTTGGAGAAGTAGTTGTTTCCGCTTCTACAGCAGCAAGAAAAGTCCAGCAGCTGTTGAGATCAATGTCCCATGTACAGAATTCCCAAGTGCAAACAAAACAGGAACTCAAATACTGACGGCTAGGTGGAGCTTGCAGAAACACCTCATGCCTGCCTTGGAAAAGATGGACATCTGGATACGCACTGACAGCTTGTGGAAGTGCTTCAAGAAACCATAGTTCAATGCACCAATAAGTGAGAGCAAAGATATAGACTGTGAAGGAAATTCAGGGCATTGAGGACCACTGAGGAAATTCAAGCCTCTGGCTGGCTCTGCTTTTTTCACAGGAGGGTAAAAGACACGTTTTTGAGTAGAATTCTCCTCCTTTGCTGGCACCACAGCCATGTGGTGCTCTCCTGTCAATAGTGTGCACACTGGCAAGCCCTTGCATTGCGCCAGAAGAGCTGAAGGGGGTAATAGAGGCAGCAGGGTAGAAAAAGTGTGGAATGGGGTGAGCAACGTGAAGCTATTGATGGTATGTGGCTGCTCCAGCTGATGAGGGGGCACTTGGGGTTGGGCTGTCTCCAGGGAAGGTGGCGGTCTTGTTTTCTTCTGGTGCTGTATTACCACCTTCAGGTTCACTGTGATTGGCAAGGGGATAAGTGAGGAGCACACTCTGAAACATGACCTATTCCCATCCTTGCAAAACATTGGCCACTTATTAGACCATGAAAATTATTGCTACCAAAATGAGCACAGTATAATGCCTCTCCTTTCTTGAAGCTCTCTGAGATGCTGGTCATTGTGTGTGCATAATTGAAATTTGCTCCCCGAGGAGCAGAGCAGGGCAGGCTGCTGGACATGTCCTGGGAGGACCGGGCTTGCGCGCAGGTGGGATTCACCCCTGGGCTGTGCCTCTCCTATTTTCATGAGCATTAAGGTCACTTGCATCCCAGGGCAGAGTGAGGAAAGCTCCTGGCCGGTGCTGTGCAGTTGTGCTCGCGTCCCAGCGGTGAGTGCCAGAGCGGCTGCTTCTCAGACGTTCCCTCCGTGCTTTTTTTCTAGCTAATAGGCTGCATAATCGGACGCCAAGGGACCAAAATCAATGAAATTCGGCAGATGTCGGGAGCGCAGATCAAAATCGCCAATGCCACGGAAGGGTCATCGGAGCGCCAAATTACCATCACAGGAACCCCTGCAAACATCAGCCTCGCGCAGTACCTCATCAACGCCAGGTGAGACCCCCCCGCCGACCTCCACCACCTCCTGCCACGGCTGAACCCATCCTGCCGGTGCGGTGGGAGCAGCACACACTCCTGGCACTGTGGGCCAGGAGGGGCTTCCTGAGGCCAGCTGGGATGGATGGTGGCTTGCGGAGACCTCTGAGCGGGGACCAGGTATCACCAGTGGGACCTCGCCCCTCAGCTGGTTCTTTGGCTGGGGACTGGGTGCCAGCGGAGCAGCCGTGGGTTGCGCCGGTCGCCTGCTCACCTGCCACCCTCGCTCAAGAATTTTGCTTGTGGGTGGGCAAAATCGCCGCCGTCTTTCCCTGCGGACGAGGCAGTGTGCAGGGACGGGGATGGAACTGAGCCGGTGGTGGGGAGGCATCACTTGGGACCTGCTCGCTGGGATCCCAGCATCACTTGCAGCCAGCTCAGAGCCTTTTCTGCATCCTTCCAGCCCTCCCAAAGGCTTTCCTCTGCCCAATGAAAATAATCAGTCCAATAAACGCAAGACACGGGAATGGCCTGATTGCTTCCTTTTCACACTAACAAGCTTGGCACTGCAGGACTTTGTAGGGACTGGGGGTTCCCAGTGCTGCCTCCAGCCAGGGGCAGCGCTGCCTGTGCTGTGGGGGACCGGGGGTCCAGCGAAGGACTGCGAGGGGAGCGTATAGAGGAGGCACAGCTGGAGAGGGATTTGTGGACCAGCTCCGCACCGGCGGTGAGCAGTATCCGGGGTGCTCACGCGGACCTGTTTGCCTGCATCTGTGGACTCGTGGATGAGGAGCTTGAGGAGAGACAGGGCCTTTCACTGGCTTCGCACCCGCCTGGCACAGCCGCGCAAGCTGAGGCTGTCTGTCTGTCTGTGCCCTCTGCCGCAAGCAGAGCTGGTGCTGTACCAACCCATCGCCAGCCCAGGATGTGCGTGGCTGCGGTAGGCTGCCGGCAGGGTCCCGAGGACGGGGGGCTGTTGTCGGTGACTCTGACCTTCATTGCAATGTGGGCTAGGAGCACCGGTGAGGTCTGTACATCCTTTCTCCTCCTTGCACCCAACCCACCTCAGCCCTGACCTGCAACAGACCTCCACCATCCCCTCCTGCCCTGCTGTCCTGCTGCCCACACCAATGGCACCTCTCCAGCCACTCAGGAGAGGGACAGGGCCAGCCCCACGTCCGTGGGCACGGCCAAGTGGCTTTCCCTGCAGTTCCTTGATAATCCCCCCAACCTCTTGAGACAAGAGTAAGAAAAGAAAAACGAGCAGCTCTTCTTTACCAGGAAGGGCTGGCTAAGCTGCAGCCTGTGCTGTGGCAGAGAGAGATATGACCTGATCAGGGGCAGGATGGGGCACAGCTCAGCCTCTCCTGTATTTTCCAAAACCAGAGTGAAATGAAAAAGCCAGGGATGCTGGGAGAGCTGCCTGTCCTCTGTGGGACGGATGCCGGTAGAAGTGAAGCTGTGTGATGGGATGTCTCCTGCCAGCACCCCTGGTGGGTGGCACCTGTGCCACGCTGCAGTGCCGGGGATGGGCATTGCCTGGCAGCTGTGAGGAGGGGAAGGCAGCCGGCCATGCAGCTGGCTCTGTGCTCCAGCCCCCTGTGCCTTCCACGGGGACCCCTGTGCGCTGAAGCCACCTGGTGATGCTCTGACCCCTGTCTGAGCGGAGCGTAGGCAAAGAGGAGGAGTGCTGCCCCGCAGGGTCTTCGTTTTCTTTTCTGCTCCGGTTATTAAGTGCTTGTTTTTGTCTCCCCCCTACCCCTCTCTCTGCCCCTGTCTATTCTAGGCTGACGTCTGAGGTCACTGGAATGGGCGCACTCTAATTTCCACCCACCATCCTCCACTCCGCACCACCTGACCCTCTCCAGCCACCGGCACTCCACCCAGCCTGTACTGCCTGTACTTTTACCGTCTTCCCTTTGCCTCCACAGATACTCTTTTCTTTACTAACGAATATATATATATATAAATACACACACATATGCACACACTGGAACGTTTCTTTAAGAGCTCCTTACTGTGCTCCTGAGGCTGCTCCCGAATTCTTTGGTTATGGTCCTTGTTTTCAGCGTACGGTGTTATTACTTCATCTGCTTTTTGGGGGGTGGGGAGGGGGGTTGTGGGTTCTTTTTTTTCTGCTTGCGAGACTTCAGAAGCTGACGGGGTCTCTAGTGTCAGTCTAGTGTAGCTACTTACACGTTTGAGTTGACGTTGGCGGTACTTGCTGTAGCCTATGGACATGTGACGCCACCCAGAGCTGTGTGTGCTTCAGAGCACTTAATTTTCTCACTCTTCTTCCTCTGATGCTCCCTCTTCATTCGCTTTGCTTGTCCTGGCTCACCTTTGCCACCTTGCATCCCTGCCTTCAGGGTAAGGCATAGTTTTCACCCTGTGCTATCCGGGAAGCAGAACGTGCAGAAGCCAAGCCCACGTGCATGCGTGGGTTCATCCGCAGACTTCTCTCTTTGCAACATGGCAGGGTCCAGACAAGCCATTTTTCATACTGAACGAAGGGAATCACACACATGCATACACAAAAACAGTCCTCTTTTTTAACTAATGAGCGACTGGAAGTGGGAAGAATTCAGCTGTATGGGATTCACACCCCCAGGGGCCTTTGAAAGCACTCTTTTGACAGTCCCCACAAGCAAAACCTTTGGACGATAGCTCAGGAAGCTCTGTGAGCTGGCTGTGTTTGTCGTTGTTTGTGTTCAATAAATGTCTGTGCAGCTCTGCTACCGATGGGCTCCGACTGTTCTTCTCCTGGGTTGCCCCACCATCTCCAGCCCCATCCTTCCCTCTGCGTCCTTCTGCACCTTTTTAGCTGCTTGGAGGGAAGGTGGAGGTTGTCTACAAACCCTTTGTTATTATTATTATTATTATTCCTATTACCGTTACTATTATAACATCATATTTTATTTTATCAAGAGAAGGTCCCCCTGAGAGATGCACTTCCTGAGTGGTTCCATGGGGTTTTTTTGTTTGTTGTTGTTTTAAATGGAGGGTACTTGGCTTGCATAATGCTTTGGTTTTTCCCTAAGATTAATTTACAAGTTACAGTATGACAACAAGCATTTCTTATGGCCCCCTTGTCTGGATGGATCTGCCATGTCTGTGCCCCACACCCTTCCCCAAGACCCTCTGTGTCCAGCCCTGCCTTCTGCTTTCAGGCTGTACTTCTCTCTCCTACCTCTCAAATGGGGAAACAAATATATTTCCCATCTGTGAATTTCCTACTGTACATATTGTAAATGAGAAGATCATGACAACACCATGCCCCCAGGCAGCTAAAGCAGCCACACAATACCTTTTTGCACTGTACCACATGGGAAATATATTGTTTCTCCAGGTGAACCCCAAGACTTCATGGCTTTTCCCTCTCTTCCTCCTCCAGCGCTGCCAGGCACCACTGGCAACTCTTCTCCCTTCTCCTGCTGGGATGCTGGACCCCTTCTCCTCCTGTGGCCAGTGCTGACTGCTCAGCACTTGCCCAGGGCTGTGGTGGGGGCCCCAGGTGATGCCACCACACCGGTCAAGCCAGGGATGGGCAGGGGTTATGGGCTGCAGCCCCAGCACAGGGGCTCGTGCAGCTGCTCGGCAGCTGGCAGGGATGGTGGCACAGCTCAGAGAGGCTGAAGGGAGTGAGTTTGAGTGTCTGCATCTATCTAGATGCTATCTATCCAGACAGCTGTCTATGTCTACCAGGCAGCATCGCCACCTCTCCTCAGAAGTCTATTCCCGCAGCCCAGGAGCACGCTGCTGGCAAAGCTCCAGAAAGGTGGAAGTGGCCTCCAGCACCAGTGATTCACTCAGCCAAGGTGTCATAAACTCACATGTGCTCAGCTCTGGAGTGTTTCAGGCCTCTGCCTTTAAAGGTGCTTCCAGCTCCTCCGTACAGTGCTTTGCTGCCCATTCCCAACCCCTTGCTCTGCTCTCCCTGGCAGTTTGGATTCAGCTGTGCCTTTCAAGTGATCCAGCAGCCAAACGAGCTCCAGAGCATCCCCTTATTCACACAGCTGCTTTGGGTGTTGCTGCAGGGGGTCAGGTGGAGCCAGTAACCTCCCCTGGCAGCAGCCCCACTCTTTATTTGTGCTGATGCTGGAGGAGGGAGGGAGCCCAGGCACCAAATGTTGCCTCCTCCAAGTTGCCAGAGCAAGCATAGAGCCACATGCCAAGGTGGTAAGTCAGCCATGAGCAACCGGCACTCCTCATCCTCTCCTCTTCCTCGGTCTGGTTTAGCCCAAGTATTTTTCTTGTTGAAAGAACCAAATATTTGTGTGTGAGACCCAGCATGAAAATAACCATCCATGAGCATGTCAGAGCCTTATCATGAGCCAGGACACTTGCCAGCCAGCAAAAGCTCCTCAGCCCACTACCACCACCCTCCAAGCAAAGTGATGGCAGCCAGCAGCCTGGGGTGATGCTCCCCTCGGAGATGGGTGGTGCACAGAGGGAGGCCGGCCACCCCTCC